CCCCCGCGCGCGGCTCCCGCCCACAGCTCCCGCCCGCAGCGCCCACCCGCAGCTCGCGCCCGCGCGCAGCTCCCGCATACACACACACACACCCGCGCACGCGCACACACATCACACATATACACACACACACACACTCACACACACACACCCGCACATGCTCTCTCTCTCTCTCTCTCTCTCTCTCTCTCTCTCTCTCTCTCTCTCTCTTACGCGCGCGCACGCAGCTCCCCTGCGCTCACCTCCGCGCGCAGCTCCTGCCAGCGTGCAGCTCCCTCACACACACACACACACCGGCTACGTGCGAGGCCTCAGTGGCACACTGCATCGTGGCTAGGTGGGTGGGGCTGGCCGGGTGGGGCCGGGGGGGGACTGAGATCGACGCTAACGAGAGATGTGAGCATAGTGCCAATCAAGGGCGGTATGGTATGGACACCGTGAGGAGCTGTTTCCATCCAGGCAGCAACGAAGGCAGTCGCAACGGGCCTCAAGGGCGGCACGCTCCTCAGGGGATAGAGCTCCACGATGGGGGACGAAATCCTGCGGGAGGTCCATCTGAGGAACAGTGGGTGTGCCGGCACCAATCTGTGCAAACCGACTGCGTGCACGACCCATGGCGGATATGACCATCTGCAAGCGCTCAGCCACGGGAAAAGTGTCATCATCCAAGTGATACTGGATGACGTCTCGGAGCTCGATGTCCTCGGGGGCGTCCCCAGGGTAGGGTCAAGCTCTGCCGAGGCATCCTCGCCGTACTCTAGAGAACTATAGCGTCGACAGAACGGTGCTCCAGGTCGAGCTGGTCAGTGAAACCGACCAGCGAAGGAGGATCGACTGCGTATGGCGTCGCGTGACTGGGTGGCGTCGGCAGTGGATCGTGAAGAAGATGAGGCGTCAGAGAAGTGACTCCGCATCTTCTGGTACTGACGAGCAGCCTCGTAGGCGTGCTCGGAGGAGGCGAAGCTATGTCGCCAGAGCTCGATGCGGTAGTCAATTGGAAGACTAACTACGAACCTGTTGGTCAAAAGGACCTCATCGCAGATGAAGCGGGCGTCCTGAAACACTCTAATGTACCGCTTAAGATCGGCTGGTGCGGAGGACCCGCGCCACTGCGTCTGGGTGACCCGATCTAGGGCGTCAGTTGCATCGTGGAGAGTGTCGTAACCGTCATGAAGGAACGCGGTGAAATCCGCGAGAGTGGGAGTCTTACCTGAGCGAGTACGATGGGTATAATAGTTCTCCCATGCGGAGAACGTGGAGCACCACTGCTCCAGACCAGTGTTAGTCAGTGTCAGCGCGCGTGTGGCAGCCTGCAACCAGTGCGACACACGCATAGTACCATAAAGGTCGGGTATGTCCGACAGACGCACAAGGGTGAGACCGCTCTGCTGACGGCGAGGGGAGAGAGGTCGAGGAGCCTGCACTGCCGCGACACATGTCGAGGTCGATGCAGACGTGAAAGTGGTAGCAAGCTGAGAGTCGGGGCTGCTGGTGGAAGGTACTGCAGACGTGGAGGCAACAACCGCAGTCAACTGTGCCCGGTCGAGGGAAGCGAGACGGCAAGACAGAGGTGGGAGGGGCGGTATAAGAAGAAGGAGGGTGAGCAGTCTGTGATGGGTGAGGCTGTCTTAAAGAGAGAATCTCCGCCTAGAGTTGCGCCATGGTGGCCTGTAGGGTAGCCACCCGTTGAGTGCGCGGGGTCGGAGGTGGAGGGGGCGGAGAGAGTACCCTAGCGGAAGGAGGAAAAACTTCAGGCCGTAGTGTCGCGACCGGTGCAGGAAGCTGGAAAGCAGCACCGGGGTGGGTAGATGAAACTGGCTGGCCAGATACCGGTATCTGGGCGACAGCACACGCGGCA